GGGGGGTTGGGGGGCTAAGTATTTATGGGTGTAACTATAGCGCGCATCGTTATCCGAGGGCCGAAGGCCGGATCCGGGGTATGGGAGGAATTGCTTGACTTCTTGATTGGCTGGGAAAGGAAAACTAGGCCTATTTTTTATTTATTTTTTTTTTGGTCCGACTGCCCGACGACCTTTGGCTGATGGGTGGGGAGGGGGCTTGACAAGACCGATGGGGAAATTACCAGACCGATGGGGGATTAATCCCTCTGTCTCACCCCCCTCCCCACCACCCGACGGCGCAATTAGATTTAATAAATTACATTTATTATACAAAAAAACTTATAGGCCTATAATATAAAAATTATGTATAAAACATTATTATATAGGGCCTAAATAAATAAATAAAATATAAAATATATAGGCCTATTGCTAGTTGGAATATTTTCTGTTAATTTCAAAAAACAATTTTTTTCAAGTGTATTTCATTCTTAATTTTAATTCATGTTTATATTATACAACCCGAATTTTAACATTTAAATCATGTTTTCTGTATAACTGTATATCTGGAGATAAGATCTGTCAGTTCAAAACATAATATAATAAGGTGAAATGAAATAAACAAAGTACAATATAGGCCAAATTGACATTTTGAGAACGAAACCCTAAAATTGATAACGAGAAAGTTAGCAAATCAAGATTTGTAGGCCCTTATTCTGTACTACAGGACTAGACCATTGTTTATATCCAACGGTGAAAATTGTCCTCGAATCTCGCCAGGTAATTTTAATGAGGATACCAGACAGGAAGTGAGAAATGTTAACATATCGCAGTCGCAAAGAAAAATTCAACTTGACGTAACATGCATGTGACGACGTTAGAAGAGTCTTTGCCGTTCGAGCTTGAAAAATTCAACTTATCGTAAGAATCGTAACCGGCTTATTTTGTCTGCGGCCCAGCACGATCAAGACGCGGCTGTTTTTGTCCAACTTCTCGTAACAGTCGTAAGAATTGTAAGAATCGTATGAATCGTAAGGAATTCTGAACTTTACGTCGACAGGAAACCAGGCTTTATGTTTGAATGATCATGCTTGCGTTGCCTTGTGTTACGTCTCTTACGAAACGTATGCGAGTTCATTCAACAAAAAGTCACTAAATCGCGGTATCCTGTCAAATAGTGGAAAATAGGGCTGCCTCAACAAGTTGCACTTCTTTCTGGGTGGAGTTGTGGTCGCTGATGCAATGTGCTCTTTTGATGATTGCGTTACAAACTCCCTTCTTGGTGGACGGATGGTGAAACGAGCGTTTGTTTAGATATCTGTCGGTGTGTGTTGGTTTGCGATAGACTGCATGTGACAAAGTCCCTGCGTCCTGTCTGGTTACCAAAACATCAAGAAAGGGTAAAGAGCGATTGTGTTCCTCCTCCATGGTACACATGATTGATTTGTGCTGTGAATTCAGGTGATCTGGAAAACCATCTAGGTACACCTTACTGTGTTGCCAAATGATGAAAGTATCATCGACGTATCGGAGCCAGAGTTTTGGTTGTTTGGTGGCTGAAAGAAGCGCTAGTTGTTCAAACTCTTCGAGGAAGATGTTGGCAATGACTGGGGATAAAGGCGATCCCATGGCCGTGCCCTCTGTTTTTTCGGAAAACTGGTCGCACCATTTGAAATTAGTGCAGACCAAACATTGTAAAAGTAAATCGTAAATTTGTTGATTTGATCATTACAACAATTAAAAATTTATATGTGTAATGTTAACACCTTTATCGGACTTTTGATTTTTATCAAACCCACTCGTGTATTTTTTCAGCGTAAAAACAGTGAAAACTGACGAAATATCCCAGCTGTCTTTAACATAAATCCCTCTACAGTCGAAAGTTATGGGCCGATTTCTTTTGGGAAAAGTCCATTTGAAAGCCCTTTTTGTCTTCTAAATGTATTCTAAATATAAAATTGATCGGTTGAGCAGTTTTATCGAACCAATCAGAGTTATGAAAATCATCCAAAACTCCTCACCATATGCTTAAGCATTACAAGCATATGGCAGTCTGACGCTCACGTGGATGCAGAGCTTGAAATATACTCTGGAAAAACAGATAAAATGACTAAATTATCCTTATTTTTAAACACTAAAATTATGATCATTGGCAAAAGAAAAGGATAGAGATTCAAATAATGTAAATCATATGCAGTAAAAACGTATAGATTTTAGTACCAGCAGTATATAAATGTCAGTTTTTGTAAAACACCCCATTTTTTCGAGCGGTTCACTGGTTTGAGATGGTCGATTCCATTTTCTTATGTGTACATGACTACGTACATGTGAGTGGTGAAGACTGTAAAGCAGGGTAGAATATGTCTTCTTTTGAGGGTAAAAATAAAACTGTGAATGGTATTTAGATAATTATGTATGTTGTTTAGAATAAAAATTGAAAGTCCATATGAAAATGTTACGGCGTTTAATTTGTAGTTGTAGAACCCCCTAGATTACAAATGAACTGTTTCAAAGCCGTTACGCGCTTGACTGATCACCCACAGTGTACCGTTAGCCCATGAGTGGAAGCTATCTTGAGGTCGAATTCAGGGAATAAAATTGCACTGCTAGCAAAATATTGTCGTAATGATTTATATTTATCGATATTTATTATATTATTGCATTACAATCTCTATTTGAAATTTAGTTGTGACTTCTTTATTGAGGTGCCCACTTTAAACTTAAGTATTTGGATATAAATCCCGTAAAATCCAGAATTTTTTCACAAATAAGTGAAATCAACTTCCTTGTTTTATTTCTTTATTTTTTACCTATATGATTACAAGTTTTTAACATATTTAAACCTTTTAAATTAGCTGTTCAATGTTTTAATTGGATATTTTATTGTTCCCTATGTTTTATGCCATTATATATATTCAAATGAGCCATTCAATGTTTTAATTGAATCTATGATTATGATACTTCTTATTCTCTTTAAATCAAATTAACTTAACATGAGTTGATAGCCATTTATGATTACTACAATTAATTACCATAATTAATAAAAAAAAAAATTGTTTGATCTCAACATGAATAGTCTGCCAAATCTTTTTAATTCCTTTGTGATGTGCATAAAAACAAGATTACTTTCTGTATTTATAAATCAGTGTTTTTCTAGACAGTGGTACATGGTATGTAAATTTAAAATATAGCTTGTTTTGGAGTACCAAGCGCCCTTTTTTTTTCTTTTCTTCTCCCTTGTCTTCATCTCTCCCATGCCCTACCCTTGGATCCACCATTGTGAGATTAGGAGTTCGAGACCGACGCTCGTCGCATTGCTTGCGTCCTTGGGCAATTGCATTTCACTTACGTTTGCCTTTCTCCACCCAGGAGTATAAATGGGTACCTGGTAGAATGGTATGGCATTGAATGTATGGGTTGTGCGCATTCAAGCAGCAATGACCAGGGACACTCCCGAGGGAGCAGAGAAAGTTGCAAAATGTACGGATCTGCCAATTCAGTATCCAGTGACCGGATAAATAATGATGCCAACGCCTTTTACAATTACTTGTAAATATCTGCGGATTGTGAAAGGCGCTATATTTAAATTATGGTTCTATAAAAAAAAAAATATTTTTGGCATGTAAATGTGGTGCTTCCCTTCCAGCCTCCAGAATATTAATTGTTATCAACATCAGTAATAATAATAAATTGTTGTTTTTTTTAACCTGTTTAAACAAAATGATTTTGATTAGTCTACCGTAGTTGATTTTAACATTTCCGTTTCATTTTTAGATCATTTAATCAAATAAATTAATGTTTTTTTTTTATTAATGTTAAAAGACCGCCTGAAATTAAATTCTATTAGGTTGGTTTAGGTTGGCCAATGTCCATTGTCGTTTAATAATCTTGTGAGATCAAGTGTACCAAGCGCCCTTTTTTTTTCTTTTCTTCTCCCTTGTCTTCATCTCTCCCATGCCCTACCCTTGGATCCACCATTGTGAGATTAGGAGTTCGAGACCGACGCTCGTCGCATTGCTTGCGTCCTTGGGCAATTGCATTTCACTTACGTTTGCCTTTCTCCACCCAGGAGTATAAATGGGTACCTGGTAGAATGGTATGGCATTGAATGTATGGGTTGTGCGCATTCAAGCAGCAATGACCAGGGACACTCCCGAGGGAGCAGAGAAAGTTGCAAAATGTACGGATCTGCCAATTCAGTATCCAGTGACCGGATAAATAATGATGCCAACGCCTTTTACAATTACTTGTAAATATCTGCGGATTGTGAAAGGCGCTATATTTAAATTATGGTTCTATAAAAAAAAAAAAAAATTTGGCATGTAAATGTGGTGCTTCCCTTCCAGCCTCAAGAATATTAATTGTTATCAACATCAGTAATAATAATAAATTGTTTTTTTTTTTAGCCTGCTTAAACAAAATGATTTTGATTAGTCTACCGTAGTTGATTTTAACATTTCCGTTTCATTTTTAGATCATTTAATCAGATAAATTAATGTTTTTTTTTATTAATGTTAAAAGACCGCCTGAAATTAAATTCTATTAGGTCGGTTTAGGTTGGCCAATGTCCATTGTCGATAAATAATCTTGTGAGATCAAGTGAAAGGTGTGAAGGGCGATTAATACATTGGAAAGCCAAGACTAATACATTTTTAAATTCATCTTTGTTATGTTTCCTAGATTATGGGAACAACTTCCTAATGAAATTAAACAATGTACATCCATTTCGGACTTTAAAGCCCAGCTCACAAAACACTTGATCTCAAAATATTAATAATAATAACTATTAATTATCTCTGTTTTTCATTTTTTTTAATAGTTAAATCAATTTATTTTAAATTTACTTTTACTTTTTTGTATATATTTATATTTTATTGTCATTGTATTTGTTTTTGATGATGGAGTAAGAGCAGTTTACTGTTTGGGCTTATGCCTATTACTTACTCCTGGCAAGAATATTGTATGTATACTCTTTACTTTGCCGAATAAATATTATTATTATTATTATTATTATTATTATTATTATTATATTATATTATATTATAAATATTATTATAAAAGCGTTTGTATCTGTATGCTATTGTTTATCCTCAGAATTATGTGATATGATTCAACATCCTAAGATTGATACTTAGCTTATATGTGCAAGCTATTACGGATATATGAATTAATAATGTTTATCAATTGAAACAATTTTAACTAGTAAATATTTGTAAATTAATGAAATGTTATCCAATACTTTATTATGATTTTCATGATTTTAGAAAACATACTTCTGTGACCTCTTCTTTCCCCTAAAAGAGTTATGATTTTTTTTTTGTTAGTTTTAAGATCATCCAGTCTATTGTTTTCATAAAAGAGTATAGGTATGACTACACTGTAAACCCCTCTTTCACTTTAACTGTTGCATCACATGTTTCTTTGATTTATTTGTGGTGTGAATAGGTTTATGTTCTGCATAATTATATTCAAATAATTATATTATATCCATTATGAATATATTATTTTAATTATTTACTTATTGTTTTGTTTCTATCGGTAAGATACAAGATAAGAGAAAGAAAATCTACATTTATTTACTAATGTCTATTAGCTCAAATAAAGTTTTAAAGCGATTGAATTGAATTTTCTTTTTAGAATTGATTTTGTGTTTGCAGAAAATGTATGAAGAGATAAACATTTTACACCATTCCTATGTGTATTGTAAATGTAATGTTATTAATTCAGTGCATTTCATTGATAAGTGAAGGGATTGGTATGGTAGCATTCGGCATATCCTATGAATAATATAAAAATTTGGTTCCTGAGTGCAATGGGGAGAATATGAAAAATGGACTGTTCCATTCAATAAGCCAGATCTTAATTGAATAGCACAATCCACTTTTCAATAAATGAGAAGATTCTTTCAATTCCGAGAAGATTCTTTCCATTCCAAGAATAAATGTATTATTCTTTTTATATAACCCAATTACAATAGATTCTTGTCCTTTCATATATTTTGAAACCAAAGTTAGGTTTATCATTTTTCTAAATGGAACAGTCCATCAACCAATGAATACATAATATTTGCTGGAAGCTTTAGATTCACAAAATGAATGGAAATGGATCTAAACTACATGCAGAATTGATGGGAGGGGTTGGGGGAATTACTTAGTTTGCCATTTATAAATGGTGTAAATACCCGTTGTCATATGATATTAAATCCACCAATCAACTGACAAGGATCAATGTTGTTGTTTTATGAAAGAGATTTTGCCAACCTGTTAAATATAATGGTATTTATATGCTCTATTTTATTGGAAACCAATTGAAATAGACATGCCCTAGATTTTGTTTACAAGTTGTTGAAATGTTTTTATAGCATTCTGATAAATAAATTAATGTTAAAAAGAGCTGCATCAAGTATTTCTAGTGGAAACTTTTCCCCATAAAATGGGAAAGTAATTGAAAGCAGAACATTTAAATGCATTGGTTCGGGAAAAGGTATGCCTAAAACTCAAATCATGAGTGTGTCTAGTAATAATCTTAACAAATTCTCAACAATTTAAATTGTACACATGATAAATGCATTTACAAACAAAAGCAACAATAAAATCGTATCTAGCCTTCACTGATATATATATATA